GATAATTCGTTATAACTCCTATCTCAAAGTACCGTAAATTAGTGAGAAAATTGGATATTGAGTTGGAAAAGTTCCGAATTGAACTAGAGGCTGATAATTCAGGAATAACAGAACAAATAGAAAAAAGTAGGTTATTTTATTAAGAACATTGCACTTAAGGAGTTCAGAATGCACTGGGGAAAGCAATAACAACAAATTCGAAGGCAGAACGTTGGTTATTTCTTAATTAACATACGCTTTTAGGTAGAAGACAAAGACTGCGATTTCAGCAATCTAGTCATTGCAAAAATAACTTCTCAGTGAGAAGACGATTGGTTGGGCCGGCTTTCAGAGCAGCACTTAAATCTGCTTGCATGAGACCCATGCAATCGGGGGGAGTGCCGTCTCTGGAAAATACTAAGTTCTCACTAAATGGTGACCAAACGTCTTTTAATAACTCCAGTTTAATCTCAAATTCTGGATGTCATGTTCAAGACACAGGATCCTACAGAAAGAACCCTGTTCATGCGGATGGCCTAAGTCCTCTTAGATCAATTGACGAAAGTAAGTTTACATTTTTCAATATACCCGCACTTCACTCAGCAATAAAACAAGTTGATATTGTGTCGTATAAAGCAGCGTTCAGCGTCTTTTCTTGTGCGCATGTATTTGAATTATATACTCACTGTTACTTTAGATAGAATGGATATCAAGCAACATGAAAACTCAATATTTACTGGCCACGTATGTTTGTGAGATTTATGCGTAATTTTTCTTGGTTTGGATAGTATATTTATCGCTTTTCATCAAAGTTCTCATCCGTCAAATAATACCACAGAGCACCGGGTTATATTTATACTGTTGCCTGTGTTTGCAGCTGAAATAATTCGGCTAAGCTGTACGTGGTATTATTAGTTGTATAAAACTTAGTATATAATGAATGTATGTTAGCCTCATGATGACACCATCTAGAAACTTGTTTAAGGACGTGTTTTCGGAGAGTCAGTAAATCATCATTGCACCAGTCTTTGATGTTCTTTGTGCCGTGTGAATCCAAGTGGTTCCCGCCTCAAAGTCTAAGCAGTAGAATTCCACTGGTTCCTGGTTGTCAGGTAAGAGCAGTAAAATTGTAAAACCAACAGAGTCGATAAATACATAAGAGCGATGTTACGTCAGACCTCTGGTGTTAATTCATCTGCTCTTCCTCGTTTCAGATTACTTTAGCTTTTGGAAATTCGATCAATGTCGAGTGGGGGGCGCAAGCACATGATGGTTGTCAGCGTATGGGTTCTAGGTAGTTTAAGATTGATCAGTTCATAATATGAATGAAACTCAATCTCCATAAGCCTATGCTGACTGGTTATAAGGCGGATATTTATGAAATTATGTTTGTAGGGACTCATTTTACAAATATCTTCACAAAAGAGAACAAATATTTGTTAATAACCATGAATCAAACACGAATCCTAAAATGCTAAAAGTACATATATTTTTCAAAGTTTTCTGTCATACGTTGATATATCGAAAACCAATATTTAAGTGGAAAATCCGTGTCACATCCCACTTCACTTTCTTGAAAATATTTTTGTTTGTAGACTCAATATGTTTGGACCATCAGTCCAGTGACAGTTCCTACGACAGAACCTTTGAAACGTAAGTTCAAATTTCCTTTGAATAATTTAAAATGCATGTATTGCACGGGAAAACCCCCTTGTCATGTGTTGTTCATTTTTAGTGTGGAAATCCTAGCTTTATGATGCCTGATTACTACCATATACACCTTTCACTGTTTTCAGTTAGTGTTATTAGTGACCAGAATACGATTGCATAACCTATCACCAACGATTTCAGCGCGATATTAACTTTCGCCTAGTGACAACGTCCTAGTGAAACAGTAAAATGTGTACAGTTGTGACCATCATCAAGAACCTACAGTTCCCATAAATTTATTGAAAATAACCGGGATATCTTTTGACAATGACTTTTCACATGGTTTAATGAGAATTAGCCTCTTGAATTAGGACTCAGCAATTACCGGTAGTTGTGCATACCAGCTCCCATGTTTGTTATCCCTTTAAACTAAATAAACTTCCTAAGGATCAAAGTTTCTATTTCTAAATACTACGTTTCCAGGCTTTACTTGTTTTTCTTTTAAGTCATGCTATAATTCGGCGAGTATTAACATCATTTGAAAAGGTAAGGTACTATTGTAGTGAAGGAGAACACAGTTGAAGACAATCGAATTATATTTAGCACAACATTACAGAGTTACTTGGTAAAATAGAAAAACGATACAGTCAGTCTGTCAGTCAGCTACAACGTAGGACCAGGCACATATGTGCATCGGTCCAGGTTGCCATACTGCATCAGCACAACAAGATGAACACCGGATTCATAGCAGTGGTTAGGTCAAAGGTGGTAATATATAAGAGAAAGATTGCATATAGAGATATAGTACGAGAAGAAAAATGGGTTCGTAGAAAGAGAGGTATGAAGCGATTTTAATCTCTTAGTTTAAGGGACGACAAAGAGTGTATACACGGACGCCATTGTGATCGATTCTGAGCCATGTCACCAAGAGTCTCCAACCATTGGTTACGATAGTCACGCGGACCCCAACCAAGTAGTCTGCATCTACCAACATGGCTAAGACTAGAAGTTAGTGACTTCAAGCACTGATGCCACGTTTTGGTTTGGCCGCCCCTAACTTTCTTTCAACCATTTCCAACACCGGATAGCATTGCATGTCGTGGTAATCGGTATTCAGGCATACGTAACACGTGGCCCAACCATCTCAGTCGATGAAGATTCATAACCTCATCAACTGATTTACCATCATTTCCTAATACCCTGCGTCTAACTTCACTATTACTTACCCGGTGATCCCAACAGACGCCAGCACTATTTCTAAGGCATCTGTGGTCAAATACTAGTAGCTTACGAGTGTCTTCTACTCTTAAAGGCCATGTTTCGCTGCCGTAAATTAAAACAGAACGGACTGCCGCGCACTATACTCGTCCTTTTATTGATAGACAGATATCTTGCCTTCGCCATAGGTGACGTAAGTTGGCAAAAGCCAAACGAGCTATGGAGACAGTGGACAGCCTTGACGGACAGCACTTGAGTTTGCGAAATCAGATGACAGTTCGCCATAAGCCCTGACTCGACTAGTAGTATTCGAGTAAAGAGCCCTCACGAGGTTTATGTACTTCTGTGGTACGCCTTTCAATAACAGACACTGCCACAGAATCTCGCGGTCTACAGAGTCAAATGCTGCTTTCAAGTCGAGAAAGACCACCATTGTCGGACGCTGATAAGTATGCCTGTGTTCTAGAATCTGACGAATGGTGAATATGTGGTCGATGCAGCCACGACCAGGTCTGAAGCCAGCTTGGTTCTCTCGTGTTTGCAGTTCACGAGTCTTAGTTAGGCGTCTGATAATTATCGGGGCTAGTATTTTAGATACTGTAATACCTAATTTGCAGAATGTTCAATAATTGTTTCGGAGTTCATTGTTCTTGCATTTCTATTCCTTTCTTGATCTTCCCAATCTTCTGCTACCAGACATTACATTCCTGACTCGCGTTACATACTACTTATGTCGATATAGGTAGCACGCGCTTCACCATGTACAAAATACCACGTTCAGAAACCCAGTAACACAACTGGATCTAAATGGCATGTATTAGGACTTTGGAGTATTCACAATTAAGTGATCTTCTTTAGGTCCGTTTGTGGTATAGACGTTTATCGTCAGTGATTAGAACCCATAAACGATAACTCAGAACTATTCACGAGTAATTGTTAGTAACTGTAACGAAAATACACATTTTCGCTGCGCTTAGTATATTAGATGGATTTACACTGGGAAAGGAACCAGGTGTTTTTGTGAGTATTCTGAGTTTTTTAATCAGATATGATGTTACGGAAAACCCATATAATGTCATAAAATGCTTGCATGGTAATCTTTTGTTTTGGGTTTTACAGGATTAATCCACAAACTGGAGGAGTTACAAAGTTCGAAGAGGATACTGCAAGCGTTCACAATGCAGGTGCTGGATTTTCCACAATTTTGAAAAACAATTCGAGCTTGCTACCAGATATGTCGCTGGATGCTAAGACTCATACTGGAATGCACGATCGTATTATTAAAAGTACTAACTCTTCCAGTGGTCATTTATTTTACGACACAGCAGAACCTAACTTTACAGATCGTGACAAGCTCAATTTAACACCAAAGGCAGGTTCAATTGAGAATCAAGTGACAGACAACATCAGTTCACCCGGATGGCCCGGTTTAACGCAAAGTTTTTCTAGTGTTCGGGAAAAACGCCGATACCCGCGAAGATTTGATAGAATAGGGCTAGCATGTGACCTTGCAGTTGATGAGTTCGGAAAGCTTGATGATTCACCTAATTCTAGTGTCAATGCAACGCTGGGGCATGGATTTGACGATCAAACGTATGAATTTAGTGGAAATCCGAAACCAGAAGATACTACCGACCCACCAGATGATGATGAAGATTACAAGCGTTACTGTATATGCCGAGATGTGAGTTATGGTGACATGATAGCATGCGACGCCCCAGACTGCCCCTTCGAATGGTTTCACTACGCTTGCGTGAACCTAACCGTTGCACCAAAAGGTCGGTGGTTTTGTCCTACTTGCGCTAAATCCTTACATAATAAGAAAAGCATCAAAAAAAGTTCATCTAGGAAATAATGATTGCTCCAGATGTTCAGGGAACGCGAAAGAACCAATAAAGTGCTTGAGAGCAATTCTGATATATTCATGATTTTTAAACTGGTGTATAAGCACATGAAATATAATGTAATACGCTGCGATATTTATAGACAAAATTTAGGGTAAAGAAAAAAAAGAACAATATTATTTGTATGTACATGGTCACAGTGCCTGATACATCCAAGATGCATAGAAATTCGTTTGTAAACAATGAAATTTACGAAGTCACTCTATACATTGTTCAAGTAGCTTGTTGGAAGCGTAAGAAATTTTTATTTTAAGATGATTGCGTCGTTGGCGAATACATGTTTGAAGTCCCAACTACAGAAAAAATAAATGAATAATTGAAACAAAGGATACTTAGTCATTATTCAACATTACCTCAGTACTGTTTCCTTAACTTTCGTGCGACATATAAGGTGTAGAAAACACCTACATTATGTTTTTTTTTGTAATATCTCAGTAAACAATAAGATGAAAGTACAAAGGCCCGTGACTTCGCTTAGTTTTCTATGTAACTAGGTATCTACATTCTTTTCTGGATATTTTCTTGGTTATATTTACATCAGCTTATATGCAGTTGGTTGTATTCCAATTTTCGAAGTCAGAAGCTGTTTTGACTGTTTTTAGGGGTAAATAAAGTCAATTTACCGTCTATTGATTAGAACCATACAAAACAATTCTTCTAAATATCACGAGTACCAGGTTTCAATGTAAACTGTTTCATATCTGAACATTGGTTGTCATTAAAACATAGACATGACCAGCAAACACTTTAGTACTCAAAATTTAGTCGCATATCCGAGTCCTGCTATATCTACTTCAGTTTGAATACGCAAAGTTTGGTTCAAAGCCGTGTATATTGGTTTATACTGGGTTATTGAGTCAATCACTTTATCTTGTGAGAGTTTTCAATTAGAATTGATGGGATTAAGTGAAGTTACATATATGAAGGAAGTTTTTAACCTGAAATTACGTTATTTCTTTCTTAGAGTCTTATCATCTGACTCCGTTTCTGACGAACAAACCCGACCGTTGTTGCATCCTTGACGTGGTGGTCGGGCTTGCCTATCGTGATGAAGCAACCGAGCTATACTGGCTGGAACAATTGCTCCTCAAGGTCCTACCATGTCAGACAGGTCGGTTGAAGAGCAGTAAGACTAAAAGCAACAAACCCAAGGTCCGAAGGCGAAGTCGTACTGCTGACTGTACAGAGGTGTGACAGCAGTAAGGTGTTTCCTTCAGACAACCAGCATGACAGCGATGCTGCCTTCCCACAAGGAGGGGTGGGGTGAGAACAGGTCGACCCTAAAAATGCACACCTCGCCTTATCCCACGGATATCCGTCTCCGGCGGTAAAGTCTCAACAAGTACGGAGCCAACACAAAAATTACTCATAAAAAGGTCGTGTGTGACCGACCTCAAGCAGTTGTCTCTTGGGCACTGTTGTCACGCCCCCAGGTCACTAAGGCCACCTCTAATCCGATTTCCTTTTCCGGTACCTCCAGAAGAACCCTTCCATGGTGTGGGCAACCGGGAAGTGATAACCGCCCTCATACCTCTAACAGCACTCAAGACCACTGTTTTCATAATCAACCTCCCTCTTCAATTCCTATTATTCCTCCTACATCGACTTCAAACTCTAAACTTCTTTTTTCGGCTTCCCCCAACGATTCTAGTGCTCAAAACACTGTCCCAGGTCTACTGAAACCTCGCTCCACACTACACATTGGGGCTTTCAACGTACGCACCCTATGTCAAATCGGTCAGCAGGCTTCCTTGGCTAAAACCCTAGAATCTCGTACCATTGATGTATGTTGTGTCTCCGAAACACGCATACAGGATCCCAGTGTGGTCATTCACTTGACCTCACCTCGGCAGAACGGAGAGCCAACGAGATACACCCTCCATGTATCTGGTGACCCGATGGCCAGCTCTCGTGGACTGGCAGGTGTAGGCATAGCACTAAGCATGAGGGCGGGACAAGCACTGTTAGAGTGGATCCCCGTCAACAGTCGTCTATGTGCTGTTCGGCTGAACGGCTCCGTAAGAACTCGGAAGGATAGGGACACACGTCGTTGCCTTTTTGTCGTTTCTGTCTACGCTCCCACTGACTGCAGCTCAGATGAAATGGAACCAGGTCAAATGTGTCGAAACGTTAGGATTAGTACTAGTAAACGACAAAACATGGTTTAGGTATGAAGAATGAAATCTGAAAGACTTTAAACAAATTTTTAACTCCATATAACCATTATTTGTGAAACGCAGCGAAAAGTAATAGATTGTGGACGATTGATGAAGTTATGGCACACGAGTGTTTAACGTATGTAAAAGATACTGATTAATTATAATTTTTGTTGTGACTTTCACTTCTTTCAACGTAAGACAAAAGGAGGAAGTCATCTATTAGGATGAAAAACGTTCACAGTCTTATTTCAACAAACCCGTAAGTTGCGCAGCTAGACTCAAATGGTCAGAGAGTGAAAACGTGGAACTTCGTACTTACGTACGTACATCACTTCCAATTGCCACACCACATTAGCACAGAGGTGCAGTTATCGATTCAAATCCCATAGTGGAAAACGTGGAAAAAGTATAAGCCGTAGTCGGGAAGATTAGGGTTTGAAGATTTATCCAAAAAGTATAATCCATTGAAATAAATTTGGAAAGAGAAAAAAGAGACAAGGAGAATTCAAAAGATTAGAATTTGGTAGATGCACCTGCGTCATTGCAAACGATTTTGAGCTATGTCATTCAAGGTTTCTAACCATCGGTTGCTATCATCTCGTGGTCCTCAACCAGGTAGTCTACACCTACCAACATGGCTCAGTCCACTTGTCAATGACTTCATGGACTTGTGCCATGTTTTGGTTTGGCCGCCCCTAGCTTTCTTCCAACCTACTCCTATACCACTGAACATAGCACGTCGAGGCAGTCGGTCGTTGGGCATACGTAACACGTGTCCCAGCCATCTTAGCTGATGAAGTTTCACTACTTCATCAATTGATTTGCCATCCTTACCTAGTACCCGTTTCCTAACAACTGTGTTACTTACTCGATGGTCCCATGATATACGAGCAATGTTTCGAAGACACCTATGATCGAATATTAGTAACCTGCGAAAATCCTCTACTCTTACCGACCATGTTTCACTGCCATAAAGTAGGACGGAACGAACTGCTGCGCAGTAAACACGTCCTTTGGTTGGTAGACGGATATCTCGCCTACGCCATAAATGACTCAAGTTGGCTAAAGCTAGTTGAGCTTTCTGTATCCTTGCTGAGATTTCGCCACACACCAGACCACAAGGGCTGATGAGACTTCCTTCTTTTGATTGTCTAACGGATAATTTTCCATTACTTCAGCTTCCAATTTGAATAAGTTTACAAAGCAGTCGATGCCACTTGCTACTTGTATATGTTAATGTAGATGATTGCTTGGTGGGCGTTATGAATAGGTTTCGTAAATAGATTTGGTAGGGGATTTTGTGATTGGTTTAAAATAGCTATCTGTAGAAGGCGGGTAGGGTAGAAGTATTAACATCAAGGTTGCGGGACAAGATGACGAGTGACAAATCAAAAATAAAACGGGGTAAAAAGATGAGATTATTCTAGTTAATGTTCATAAAAAATTCGGCCATGAACTAAGTAGCAACATTTCATACACGTCATATTGTATTGGATTTTTGTGTAAATGAATCAGTGATCTTATCGGATGAAAATTTGAGGTAGTCCAGTGTTGTACTCAAATGTGTTCTCCATTATGAGTTCTAAGGTCTGTTATGCCATTCACTGATCAATCCATGTTATGTTAACTTGTAAGGTGAATCTACGCTACGGCCAGGATAGATCTTAATATACTCTAAGCTGACCAACTGGTTCATTTTTTTCAAGGTCTTGGGCTACATAAGCATACACCCTAATTCAGACACAGTCTTGTAAGTAGGAATTCAAACATAATAAGGAGGATGTACGTCTTATGCCACATGGAGGGTAAAAGGTGCAAGTAACGTTTTGAGTTGACAGATTTGCATGTTGAACCGGAGCCATTAAGTGCTTTAGTTCATATTCTCAGAATTTACAGTGCACTTCCAGGCGGCCATGTTCGCTCCTGTATAACGAAAAGACAACTAAAGTTCTGCTAATACCTAGTTTACCGAATACATGGAGGTCGATTTTATTTATTCATGGCCACAAATATTATAAATAATTAAGTTAATTAGTTATGCAGATTTATCAAATATATCACTTACCACCATGATCATTTTGTTCGTGGCTTCTTCGTGACTCTGTATCAGGAAAACATTTCAAACATTCATGACAAGCAAACACCTTTGAAGCTGAAAAGTCAAATGTTCAATTAGTACTGTTTCACAAGTAGGGAACTCACTATTATGGACCGTAAGGTTGTGTTCAAGAAGAGCGAACTTTGATGGAAATAGCATATTACACGGGGAACATAGGCTGATTGAATCTATAAATTTAGAAAGATAAGATCTGAGGTTAGGCCTATACACTATTGATTGCGCTTATGTTGCTAACTGAAGTAAGCTTGGATGTTGTTTATAAAAATATGTAAAAAGATGCTAAGTTTCACAAATATTAATGATCTCATAGAAAAGCAGACAACACTTTGAGAAGGCAATAAGGATTGAATTACCTGAGTGCACAGTTTTTGTATGACGATTAAAAGCAAACTTGGTTGAAAAACTCCTGTTACACAAAGGGCAGATGCACAATTCCGCACCTAAGTAAAATATTTGAAAATGGCAGTAAGTATTCATCAAGTAATAGAATGCCAAATGCTAAAGCCGGTGTGAAAATACTCACTTTCGTGTATCAGTCTCATATGGCGCTCTAGACCATGTTTGGCAGAGAATTTCTTCCCACAACAAGCACAAGGAAGAACAAGTTCTGATATACCTAAAAAATATTTGGAAATAAAAACGATCTTTAAGGAATTAGAAAATATAAGTGTACTTAACAATTTGGATGAAATTGATATTTTCTAAAACCAAGTAGGTATATCTCTACCCTATTACATAGGACATCTGCTTGGGTGCGAGAGATTACATTCACAGTCCTACTTAAGTATTCAAATACACCATGATAAATAATGAGGTTAATTTTTGATGGGGAAGGACGGGCAAACGACTGGTCAGTGTCGATAAGACTTTCTGCGTATTAATGCAGATTTATCTTATTTTAAAAAGGGCTAATTAGAAGTCGAATGCCGGGTTTGTCCACCTAATGACTTAATGTAATCATTCTGTGGAACGTTGCGTATTCTTCTCCACGTAAAAAAATAGACCTATAAGATCTGGGTTGACTGGATCATGAAGACGTCAACGCCTGAAGGGAAGCGGTGATGCAGTTGGATGATCTAGACTTCGCAGATGATTTGGCCCTTCTATCCCAAACGCAACAACAGATTCAGGAGAAGACGAACATTGTGGCAACAGCCTCAGCAGCAGTAGGTCTCAATATACACAAAGGGAAAAGCAGGATTCTCCGATACAACACAGAATACACCAATCCAATCACAATTGACGGAGAAGATTCAGAAGATGTAAAAACCTTTACTTACTTGGGCAGCATCATTGATGAACAGGGTGGATCTGATGCAGATGTGATGGCGCGGATCGGCAAAGCAAGAGCAGCACATTTACAACTGAGGAACATCTGGAACTCAAAGCAACTGTCAACCAACATCAAAGTCAGGATTTTCAATACAAATATCAAGACAGTTCTACTGTATCCGGCAGAAACCTGGAGAACTACGAAAGCCATCATCCAGAAGATACAGGTGTTTATTAACAGTTGTCTACGCAAAATACTTCGGATCTGTTGGCCGGACACTATTAGCAACAACGTACTGTGGGAGAGAACAAACCAGATCCCAGCGAAGGAAGAAATCAGGAAGAAGCGCTGGAAGTGGATAGGACACACATTGAGAAAAACACTCAACTGCGTCACAAGACAAGCCCTCACATGGAATCCTCAAGGCCAAAGGAAAAGAGGAAGACCAAAGAACACATTACGCCGAGAAATGGAAATAGACATGAAAAAAATGAACAAGAATTGGATGGAACTAGAAAAGAAGGCTCAGGACAGAGTGGGTTGGAAAATGCTGGTCAGCGGCCTATGCTCCATTAGGAGTAACAGGCTTAAGTAAGTAATAAGATCTGGGGACATTTACAACAAGCGATGATAATAAAGTATGGATTACCGTGATCGAAATTTCATATTTACTGTATCGGCTTTCCAATGAACTTATTTATAGAAGTAGGACACTGGTCTTGAAGTTAGCTACAATGGTACAATGATATCAAAAATAATAGAAATCTTTGAATGTGAGCAGTTCGTGCTAAAACCTGATATGTCAGATTAAGATCAAACGCAAAAGAAACCCACTTATCAAATTAGTAATAGTAACTTTTAGACATTAATCTAGAAGTTCGGCTTTATATTATGTCAGCACATGATTTAGAAATAGATGAATTTAGGGTTTTGTATGGTATCCTGTTTAACTCACCTTCATGAACTTTTCGAATATGTCGATGGAGGGCAAATTTTGTGGTAAACTTTCGTCCACATGAGTCACATTTACATTCTTCGAGACCTGTGTTTCCAAGCAGTAATGCCAATTGGATTAATGTTTTAGTAAATGATCATAAGAAAAAACAAAAATTACTAGCAAAATAAATTTACGAATTGTGAAGATAAATCTGGATTAGTAGAGTTCTACGGCGTATTTCATTTCGATTCTTACTTACCTAAATGTTTATGAAAGCTAAACGGTTTAATCTCACGATATTCCTCATGTGTACACTATTTTCTCCAGCAGTACTATACGTCTATTCTGAAATACTTACACTAGCAAGGTTGATGAACGAGTCAGTTTCTTCTTTTGATCCTTGACGATGTTCAAATAAGAAAACGCAAACAATGCTGCAAGTGTATAAACATTTTACGTCTTTTGTGAAGAAAAATTAAAACGGCCTAACGGTAGAAATATAAATTCAAATAATCTGCGGTATATATTCAAGCCTTCATTATTAGTCACATGATATCCATGATAGTTAGGGAAAATTCTGGCTGCCTAATTAATGACCCATAATTTAGGATTTTTGTGTGATCTAGCGACCAATAAATGTTGACAAGACCAATTAAGCGGAAAAATATAGACCTTCCTGTGGGGTTTTACAAAGCAAAATATTTTCGTTGCAGAATCAGACAATGCTACATTCGAAAATGATATGTATAAACATATAATATTCAGAACTCACCTTCATGAACAATTTTTAAATGTCTAGCCATACCGTGTTTAGTAGAAACAACCTTTCCACACAAGGCACACGCCTGGTCATTGAACGCTAAAGTAAAATGGAATAAAAATTTACTAGGCAATAGCTACAATTCATCTTACATCCGCCTTAACAAAAGGTTGTATTTGTTGACCATCATCGGTTCCGATCTCCGTTGTGAATGATACATCAAGTAGAAACATGCCCAGTTCATTCAGTATTACAGAAATAAGTGTAGATATATTTTTGAATGATTGGTTAAATAAACGGAATATACCTATTGGTTCCCTAGAGTCGATTGAATAAATAAAATGTATCATTACACTGATCACTTAATCTACTGGACTTCTAATAGTTGATATGAAATTAAGAACTAAATAAGAACATATAGATTAACAAAAACTCAACGGGGTGTTTTTTTTAATTTGAATGGTTGCTTTTTCTATACAAAGTATCAAAAGAAAATCATAAACAATCCGACCACATTGCTTTCTAACAAGACAAACCAAATACTCAGAATTATACTATCTAGAAGTATCACGAATCCGTATTCCTCTGTGGCATATGAAACTTTTTTCACACAGCGCTTGTTTCAAAATATATTTGGTCTTATCAAAAATCGGAACATGTTGTTACTGGATGAAAAACAAATCCGGATTTCCAATTTTCGGTTAAGACGGAAAAATACTTTGTAAACAAGAGGAATGAGTCATCATATGTGAGAATTATATTTGAATGAATTTTAGTGAATAAATTTTAAATTATTCCAACGTTTTCTTTAATAATCGCATCTGAACTTCTCTAGGATAATTAATTATCCTGTGGATTAATAACCTCTTCTACATACTCGGTACCCAACTTCTTCAAAACTTATTGCTTAAATATTGATGGATATTTATATAAACAGGTATAAGTGTTTACACTGCAACAAATAGTTGTAAAAACTTTGGAGCAACGAAATTAAGGTCTTTAGTGTTATATTACTTTTGATGCTACTCCTTGAATAACATCCGCAAACCATAATTTCTCCGATTACTGTATATAATTTTACTACCTCTACAACTATGGGATTCGAATCGACAATTGTATCTCTGTGTTACTGTGGTATGGCAACTTCAACTAATGTACGTACGTACGAAGTTATACGTTGTTGCTGACTGACTGATATATTTAACACATTAGATAAAATTATCTTTCAGGTATCACTTCCTGTTTAGTGAGTAGTACTGAAATTAGAAATAAAACTCCACCACATAGGTCATTCGATGAAGCAGTGTATGTGTCACACACATTATTCTGCCTCCAAAAATTCATGAGTGCCGATTCTCGAATATTTTCAAGACTTCAAATGTAAATGTAACTGAAATGTTAAAATCCACGAAACACTATCTTTTTATTTTATTTCATTTAATAAACAAAAGTTCCGGTACAACTAGGGATCAAAAAGCTGTGCACTAACAAAATAAAGAAATGACAATGATAGATAAATAAGGGGAGGGGAACGGATCATAAACAAGTTTTGGCCTGCACAAAGCTGTAGGAGACGTCCATCGTTATTTGACGCGGGAAAAATGACCACCGTCTATGCTTGGGAGCCCGGCTTGTGGGCTTGAACCCCCGGGTAGCACTGCATTATCTGTCGAACATACTTTCTTGAAAGCATTTAACTGATGTTAGACTTCATTGTTTATTGCTTCCAAGCTACAATCCGTTTAAATAAAACTAGAGACAACATAAAGACACACTTTCTTTTAATCTTAATGGAGCCATCTAACCTAACAGAACAGTCATTATGACTGGATCTTAAGCTGCTTTTACAACTAAAAATTTAGTCTCCGCTAGATAACGAATCATATAAAAGATGTCCTGGTAACTACATTTGTCTGACAAGCCAAAGTGGTAAGCAGTTACTAAACCAACTGGAGTGAGAATAACATATGAAGCAGATTTTCCCCAATCGTCTGTTACGTGTAATTAGACCTTCAGTAGAAATCAATTGGTGATACCTGTTGGTTATAGATGCTTAATTGTATGACATGGTAAGCACGTTCATACGATGAGTTATCAATTAACTGATGTTGAATACCACAGTCTAATTAACACAAACCTGACTGCAAAACTAACTAAACAAATCGTATTAAAAAAGGTGTGTTAATATATCAGTTTAATCTATTCCGGGGGTCAAGCAAACCCTTATCACCAGTATTTACTTTTAATTCGCGTCGTGGGAGTTATAGTGGTTTCTCTTTCCAAGTATAAGCATTAGGACTGTCAACAAAAACATTTGCGAGGGAAAATATATTTTAACGCACATTTATTATGTGCTAGAGATACATTTAATTATAGATGCTAAACAATTTCCCTTTCGAAAAGCTAGTAAACGTATCTGGTATTCATTTAATTCAATTTAGACGATAACTCTGGCAGTGAATAAGTTTGAGGATCGAAAATATATATGTGGAATAGCTAAACAGTGATTAACTAATAGCGTAAAATACAATAGCCATATATACATTTTTGACTTACAATTCATGAGGATTGAATAATATTGAACCTCAACGATATTTGACTGATAACAGATCCAAATAGCTAAAACGGCAAGTCAAAAACAACTTGAGAATTAATTTGAAACCTTTTCATGCAGGATAGATACCCAGTGACAGGGAGGCTAAACCACGATATTGTATAGAGATTTATATGCCTCGGAAGACGTGGTACAGATTAGGGAGGGAAGATTCTGTTTTCCATCTAGATATGGTTTCATGTAGTCACCCAAATATAGACACCGCCAGGGCGGTCTTACCCTCATCTCGCAGACAGAAGGCAGTGAACGAAAGGCGAATGCCTGGCGCTTAAATCGGGTTAGTGGATGCTGAAGATCCACGTAGGGGAGCTGAAAAGGTCGGCTTTCAAACATTAGGTGCACGAAGAATATAGGATCCTGAGAGATCGGATGACGTATGAACCCATCCTGTTCATCAGGTATCATGAAACATCTCGTGACGTTGCTCCAGTGCATTGTGGATTAGACTCCAATCAAAGGCTAGGAAATTGGCCCCCAAGATAATCAAATTCCCCGGTTTGGGTGCTGGAGCACTATTCCAATCCAAACAAATATGATTATTAGTGAAGAAAATGTGTTATTTGTACAAACGATGCATGTAAGTACCTCATTACAGACAACTTTATTTTACGCATCATTATCCATCTATTCTGTGTTTACACTTCTTTTCAACTTACATCTCGCCTATGTAGAAAGTAATCTCGTCTAAATGATTTTAAGTCTTGACTGGCTGGAATTCTGGAAACTGCCAATAAATACTGACTTCGAATCAGTTATCTTTAAGACAACGAACTCTTAGCAGCTGGGTTCTTGACCACCGCCCCCACAACTTAGTGTAGATATATTCAGATGGTATTACTGCTCTTTATAGACGCGTGGCTGAAACCCAGGTACAAGACCACGAACTTGATTACTGCATTGAGAATTACATCGAGGTCAATAAAGGACGTTTTACGTTAGGATTGCAAATTATTTGTTACATAAGCTAGTAGACATACAAAACCTAAGATTGACAGCGGGTAACCCAAAAAACCGCATAATTTGCATGCATACAAATTTTCGAACAATATGATACTAAGAAACGCAATATGTAACTGTATTTTAATGCACTGAATAACAGTGACTAGAAATATTAGGTTGGAAGTGTCAGACACTTCTTTAATATAAAGGCCCTAATAATATTTACACAAAATTAGGGGTAACACCCGGAAACTGAACACAACAGAACGGGCTGTAGGCAGGGTTGATTATGGATACAGTGGTCTTGAGTGCAGTTAGAGGTATGAGGGCAGTCATCACTTCCCGATTGATCAAACCGTGGAAAACTTCTTATCGAGGTACCTGAAAAGGAAATTAAATTAAAGGTGGTCTTAGAGACCTAAGAGCGTGACCACAGTGCCCAAGGGACAACTGCTTGAGGCCGGCCACACAGAACCACTTCATGAATAATTTTCGCGCTAGCTCCGTACTTGTTGGGACCTTACCGCCGGAGACGGAAATCCGTGAGGTAAGGTGAGGTGTGGCATTTTTAGGGTTGACCTTTTCTAACCCCTTCCTTCCTTGTGAGAAGGCAGCATCGCTGCAGATGCTGGTTGTCCGAGGGAAACACCTTACTGCTGTCACACCCCTCTACAGTCAGCAGTACGACTTCGCCCTCAGATCGTGAGTTGCTGCTTTTAGTCTTACCGTTCTCCAATCGACCTGACTGGCATGGTAGAACCTACAGGAACGGTGGAGATTTGTAGTTCAGGTGGATGATTTTGGTGGAGTTTCGTTCTCTGAGCTGGATGGTTTTTTCGTAAAGCTTTCATCGTTCTTCTGAACGACATCATCAGCACAAACTTCAGATAGAAGTGAAGTGTCCGAATTTCTCCATATGTGTCTCAAAGCTTGTTCTGTGCACCTCGACGTTGATTGGTTCTTATTGACCTTAAATTTGTCGTTATTTACTTCTTTGTTTTGGTTGTGTCTCCCATTGTTTTGATTTTTGTTCCTATATTTGTGCATGATTTTCCTGATTGGTTGGTAAACTGGATTGATTTCAATATGCTTGTTGATTGCTGATTGACCTAAGTGCCAGGCTTCTAAAAATTCTCTGGTGTTTTTGGAGTTTTCTCTGTCTAAGATTTCCACATTTTTCCAATCGAATGAGTGTCCGCAGTTGTCCACGTGTATTGATATAAGTAAGGAGATATCATGCCGTTTGACTGCTAATTGATGTTCATGTAGGTGAAGGTGAAGGGGGCGTCCACTTTGTCCGATGTAGTGTTTTTCGCAGTTGGCACAATTTATTTTGTAGGTGATGTTTGATTTGTTTTCCTTTGTTATTTCATCTTTTGGTTTGCAAAAGATTGATTGTAGTGATTTTGTCGGTTTGTGTGCCACACCTATTCCGAAGGTTTTCAGCAGTCTCGTCGCGGTTTCTGATATTCCTTGTATATATGGTAGGGTGATCCTTTTGTTGATTTTTGCGCTTGACTTGAGTTCTAATGCTGCGTGCGGTTGGTATTTTTTGATGAGGTTGACTGGGTAGCCGTTCTTTTGAAATACGTCCTTCAAGTATTTCTCTTCATTTTTTCGTGCTGCCAGTGTGTCCTCGACCTCTTGAACAAAGTGTGTACGCAGTTGATTTTGTGAGCTCTTATGTCTGCTATTTTAGTTGAGGATTTGATCTGTATGGGTAAGTTTCCTATATACTTGAGTTTCCAGTTTTCCTGTGTCGATTCTAGTGATCAATATATCCAAGAATGATAGTTTATTGTGTGACTCCTGTTCCATCGTGAACTTGATGTCATCGAAAACGTTGTTGATCAGTTTGTTGACGATGACGAAAGTGTCGTCTACGTAGCGAATCCAAGTTTTTGGCTTGATCACTGGTAGTATCGCGGCTTCTAGTCTTTGCATCACTGCCTCTGCGATCAATCCTGATATTGGTGATCCCATTGGTGTCCCTTTCGTTTGTTCGTAGATTTTGTTGTTGAATTGAAAACATGTTGTTAGGCATAAATCGATTAGTTCCAGTAGACTTTGAATTTGAAGCTTCGTGTATTTAGTGAGATTTGTGTCGTTGTTGAGCAGCAGGGATATAGTTTCTTTTGCTAATTTTGGTTCAATTGAGGTGAATAGTGCTGTTACGTCGAAGGATATCATCAGTTCGTCGTTGTTGGTTTGGATGTCCTTAATTTGGTCCAGGAATTGTGTGGGGGATTTGATGGAGTGGTTGACTGAATCTACTAAATGTCTCAGTATTCGTGAAATTGCTTTTGACAGATTGTACGTTGGCGTTCCGAGGAGTGCTACAATTGGACGTAGTGGAATGTTTGGTTTGTGTATTTTGGGTCTGCCGTAGAATCGAGGGAGTACTGGTCCATTGGATTTAATTCTCCATTGGTCTTGTTTTGTTATTTCTCCTGCTTTGACTAGCTTGTTTAAAGTCTTTGAGATCTGGTTGTATAATTTTTTGACGGGATTTGTATCCATCAGTTTGTATGTGCTCTTATCTTCAAGTAGTTCTTCGGCTTTTTTTACGATTTCTTCTTTGTCCATGACTATAGGACAATATCCTTTCTATTTCTGAGTTCCTTCAAAGCCTTTTGTTCTCGTGGAGTCAGTTGATTGTTTTATTTCACCTGTTGAAATAGCGGTACTATAGTTTGTCTTATTTCCTGTTGTGTTTCTTCACTCATTCCGAATGTTTTGAGTAATGACTCTAGTGCTGCGAAGAATTCTAGCTTTGAGGCGTCGCTTGTATTGTAGTTTAATCCTTTTTGGAGTAGGTGTTCATCTGCATAGAAAGGACATTGTCATAATACCAGCGGACAACGGACGCATCACAGTAGTCATGTTTTGTTATTCCAAAGCTAGAATTCTTCGCAGCACTAGAGTCATTACTCAAAACATTCGGAATGAGTGTGGGCAGCCGGGAAGTGACATCAGCCCTCATACCCGTAACAGCACACGAGACCAAGTTGGTCACATTCAAATCCTTCCTACACCTCCTAATAACTCTCTTATCTCCATGACTAACCCTTCTCACGTCCCTTTATCACCTCGCATCGCTAGGGCAAACGATTCGAGTACGCGGAACGCCATTCCTGGTCTCCTGAAACCACGCTCTAAACTACACGTAGGAGCTTCCAACATCCGAACACTGTGCCAAATAGGACAACAGGCCTCCTTAGCTAGGACTTTAGAATCTCGCGCCATCAATGTGTGCTGTCTCCGAAACGCGCATACAGGATCCGAGTAGTGTCATTCATTTGACATCATGTCAAAGTGACGAACCAACTCGATTTACGCTTCGTGTATCTGGAAGCCCTGATGCTGCTTCCCGTGGCCTCACTGGCGTAGGTATAGCATTGAGTCCTAGGACAGAACTAGCTCTCCAAGATTGGATCCCAGTAGACAGTCATTTGTGCGCTGTCCGACTGAACGGAACAATAAGGACTCGGAAATATAGGCACACTCGTCGTCTCTGCCTACTCTCTCACTGACTGCATCTCAGACGATGTAGAAGATGAGTTTTACAAAAAGCTTCCCGATATTCTCCGAAAAGCTAGGCACTCTGATGTAGTAATAGTGGCTGGTGACTTTAATACTCAATTAGGTAAATTAAGCGAAAGGGAAAGACACCTGGGCAGATCTTATGGTGTTGTTGCTCAAAGAACAGATAATGGTGACCGTCTATTGCAGCTATGCTCCGATAACCGCCTTTTTCTTGTGAATACTAACTTTAAGCATAAGGAAAAACATCTTTTAACATGGCGACCCCCTAATTCGTCCCAACGTTGGACCCAAATAGATCACATCGCTACCAGCCACCGATGGAGGGGCTCGATAGAAGACTGTCGCTCATTCTGGAGCACATGCCTAGATTCAGATCATGCTCTAGTGCGAGCGCGTATTTGCTTGCGTCTTACTGGACGTAGGAAAGACGCCGCAAGGAAACCTCTTAGGGGCCTACTTAATGATAGTCAAGCTAAGAGTATCTTTCAGGAACAACTAGGAAAACAGTTAGGCAGCCATGTATGTGATGCCCACCTCGAGGCAGCGTGGAATGACACCCGAAAAGCTGTGGAAACAGCAGTGATATCTGCAAGTAAGGTAAACCACAAGGTCAGGGAGCAACACTGGATCTCAGCAGCATCTACCGCATTGATAGATGCTTGGAAACTCATTCCATCTGGCTCTGAATATAACGAAGAGTGGAGTCAGCTTAGGCGCAAGCTGACAAGAAGCCTACGCACTGATCGCGAACAGTGGTTGGTAGCGAGATCAAGAGAGATGGAAAAGGCAGCGGCGATAGGTAACAGCAGACAAATGTTCAGACATGTTAGGGAAACCGGTATCAGGAACCCAACTGTTAGAGAAACTGTCTCAGAGAAAGATGGACGTATTATACATTCTCAATCCAGGAGATTGGATCGATGGGCAGAACACTTTAGGGATCAGTTCAACTGGCCTTCAGCCACACTTCGGTTTCCCACGATCTCCAGTCAACCTGAATGGCAAGTTAATGTAGGTCCTCCGACTCTTTACGAAGTTGAAAAAGCCATAGGAAGTTTGAAGCGAGGGAGAGCAGCAGGCCCTGAGAGTTTTACTCCTGAGATTTTTAAGGATGGTGGTTTAGTATTAGCAGTGAGATTGACTGAGGTCTTAGGTAGAATTTGGGAACTGGACGTAATCCCATCTGACTGGTCTCAATCACTGATTGTGCCAGTCTATAAGAAAGGACAAAAGTCCTCTTGTGACAATCACAGAGGAATCAGTTTGACAAATATAGTGTCTAAAATATTAGCTTCAATAATACTTCGACGCCTAACTAAAGCTCGTGAACAACAGACTAGAGAAAATCAGGCTGGTTTTCGACCTGGACGTGGTTGTATAGACCACATATTCACACTACGTCAGGTTCTAGAACACAGACACACATTCAGACGCCCCACAATCGTAGTATTTCTCGACCTTAAAGCAGCATTCGGCTCTGTCGATCGTAAGGTTCTATGGCAGTGTTTGTCACTGAAAGGAGTACCAAAGAAGTACATTAACCTTGTAAAGGCCCTCTACTCGAACACAACTGGTCGAGTGAGAGCATATGGCGAACTGTCGTCAGAATTGATTGCCTCAAGTAGTGGTCGTCATGGCTGCCCACTCTCTCCATTCTTGTTCAACTTTGTCGTCGACGTACTTTTAGAGATAACATTTTCCTCGTCTAGATTTCCAGGGGTTGAACTTCTACCGGGAGCTTCACTTGTTGACTTAGAATATGCTGATGACATAGTTCGATTTGGTGAAGACGCTGACAAAATGCAGAGTCTTCTGACCACTCTAAGCAACAATCCAAGCATGTTCGGGATGCGATTCTACCCCTCGAAATGCAAAATGTTGCTTCAGGATTGGGTTGCATCGACACCCGAACTAATAATAGGGAGTGAAGTAGTTGGGCGTGTCGACAACTTTACTTATCTTGGAAGTCTCATCAGCCCTTGTGGTCTGGTGTGTGGCGAAATCTCAGCACGGATACACAAGGCTCGACTAGCTTTAGCCAACTTGAGTCATTTATGGCGTAGGCGAGATATCCATCTACCAACCAAAGGACGTGTTTACTGCGCAGCAGTTCGTTCCGTCCTACTTTATGGCAGTGAAACATGGTCGGTAAGAGTAGAGGATTTTCGCAGGTTACTAATATTCGATCATAGGTGTCTTCGAAACATTGCTCGTATATCATGGGACCATCGAGTAAGTAACACAGTTGTTAGGAAACGGGTACTAGGTAAGGATGGCAAATCAATTGATGAAGTAGTGAAACTTCATCAGCTGAGATGGCTGGGACACGTGATACGTATGCCCAACCACCGGCTGCCTCTACGTGCGATGCTCAACGGTATAGGAGTAGATTGGAAGAAAGCTAGGAGTGGCCAGACCAAAACATAGCACAAATCCATGACGTCACTGACAAGTGGACTGAGCCATGTCGGTAGGTGTAGACTACCTGGTTGGGATCCGCGAGATGATAGCAACCGATGGTTAGAAACCTTGAATGACATAGCTCAAAATCGTTTGCAATGACGCAGGTGCATCTACCAAATTCTAATCTTTTGAATTCTCCTTGTCTCTTTTTTCTCTTTCCAAATTTATTTCAATGGATTATACTTTTTGGATAAATCTTCAAACCCTAATCTTCCCGACTACGGCTTATACTTTTTCCACGTTTTCCACTATGGGATTTGAATCGATAACTGCACCTGTGTGTGACAACTCGAAAGGTTATACGTACGTACGAAGTTTCACGTAGTTACTGACTGAGTGACCTGACACCTGGACCGTAAGACTTTAATTGTAACCGGATGGTTATGAAAGTTAAGCTAGTTGAACAAGCTGATGGCTGAAATACGATATTTGTGAGCCAGGTACCTAGCTAGGTTTTCTTAGGCGATAAGGATTCCATTCAAATAAGGGACCGATCAACGTTACATAGTGTATTCAGGATATCAAATTGAAATTACGATTAATGAAAACTTACCCACTTAAAAGTGAAATTGACATCCTCCTAATAAATTACGAAGCTAAGCTGCTTGTCCACTCACAATATGGGCTTTTGGTGAGACCTAGTAATCATTCGAGCTGTAAACAACTCATGCTAATCTACATGAAACCACAGATTTTTAGAAACATAGCAGAGACAAAACCAAGAGTTTCCAGTGACTAAAAGTATTTCAAACATTTTTACACAAAAAACAGTAGTGTCCACTCATAAAACACCATTAGTCCAAATACTAAACACAATTTAATAACGGTAAACTACCTAGAAATGCATCAACCGCATGACGCGCGTTCCTTCAATATTCAACACAGTCAAATAGAATGAGGACAAAGGAGTACAACATTTGTATTTACTCTGAATAGAACAACCTTCGTAAAAGACTAAAATTTTATTTAGTATACTGAAAGGAGCTGCTATAGAACGACAAGTTAGTGACTCATTGTAATGTGATAGAAAATATTGTAAAGGTATTTGAAAACTGTTAAAACTAATTGTGCTATGTAGCATTTCGTCCATCCTTTAAGGCACTACATTTGATCTTAAATGCGTTTGGCCTACAGTCTTACGGCACTTGCGCCGTTGTCTGTGTACAAAAACCTTCATAATTTACAGTTACCAGTCCACTCAAATCAGAAATCGAAAAACCTAGTGAGTTTGAAGCCAAATTTGTAAGAGAATTATGTGTTGAAATGATTTTGATCGAAGTTGACTAGTTGTTGATAGGTATGCGCAAAACAATGTAACAAATCGTGGTCTTTTGAGGACGCATGTTCGGCGCCTTCAGATAGAGTGTGTCCAGTGAAATCTGATGATGTTAACATTAGTGTTTGAGATTTACGGAACTATTTCTCCTAAGGATTTATTTACGACTCCAGACAAATCTCAATAAAAAAGGTTTTATTTAGTTTACTAATTTGTACTTCCTTATGGTTCTTACATTGCTTATCTTCGATTTTTTATTAATGGCTTTGTAGCGGTAAATAAATCCCCAAAATAAATAGCTCTAAGTTTTCGACATTGGATGCTGACCATATGTTTTAGTGGACTCACCTAGCTGAAAGCGCTCGGTCATGCATCCGCACCAGATCACGTGTGGTAACACCGTTCTCAACACCGACCGCAATCGCTAGCCAGGTTAGATCAGAGAATTCCGATATATTGGTTATCGCCAAATCCACTCTTCCGATTTTCTCGACTTTGTCTCTTGATTTCTCTGGGTGGGAACGAAATATATTAGAGGGTGTTACTGGTAAAAGCGTTGTCAAACACAGAATACCTGTGTCATCTTCAGCTTTATTCGGAAAATATTTTTTGGTACAATACAGAATTATCATCACAGAGTATTTCAACAACTTACTTAGGCAATAAATCAAAAGCAAAGACAAGAAAAGGAAAAAAAGTTAAAAAATCGAAAAACTGTATAATTTTCCAAATTAAAGATATGTTAAGAATACAGGTTATTGACTTGGTTAACTCCAACAATCTGTTCGTCAAACAGTATATTTGCTAAGTAAGGTATTACAGAACATTTATACTTTTGCTTGTGTGCATGGATTTTAATGTAATTACGTCTCGTTCTACCAGAACATATACAAGAAGAAAGATAAGAGTGATGGGGATGGTTAACGACTGCCGGGAGTCTGCACGACTTTAGATGTTTATCCACAACCATATTACTTATGATCTCGAAGGATTCACCACACACCTTGCTAACTGCCTTCAGCACTCTCCACAATACAGCAAAGTCTTTTCTCAAAAGCACGGGAAAGAATAATGGAGAGCGGTAAAGAATACTAGGTAATGTGCAAGAATTGACAGATTGTGAGAGTAAATGACGAGTAATCCCAAGAGCATGCAGTCTCTTCATGTAGTAAGTCAGACGCTCAACCTTCTCCGACAACAATAAAACGTGGGAAGACCAAGAGAGATCAGAGGAAAAGGTAACAGCAAGATAATTGACCTTCGAAACTGTGTTTATCAAAGAGTCTCCAATGGTACAAGCATTATGGGATTTCAAAATGGTGTTCAGATGCCGTTCACGTATCATGCTAAAGTTAACAGCTTGACATTTTGACGGATTAAGTTTAAGACCATTACCAACGGACCAACAATCAATACGAGACAAAAACTCATTCATTTCTATGGGATGTAAAGAGGAAGAGATAGGCATACATACAGTGAGATCATCCGCATATTTCACAGAAGTGTTTTCTGTGGAAGATGGCAGATCATGCAGGAAAAAAGAGAAAAGGAGAGGTGAAAGAACAGCTCTTTGTGGTACACCTTCATGAGACAGCAGAGACTCTGAGCACTTTCCTCCAAACACAGTGTACTGTTCCCTTCCAGAGAGGTAGGAACATAGCCAGTTGGTTATCCAGCTGTCGGTGTTGACGCTGATTAACTTGTTAAGTAAACGTTGTCTTGGTACAGAATCAAAAGCTAAAGTATAGTCCGGAAAAGCGTATCGAACATACTTCTTACCCTTTTCTAATTTGAGCAGTATATTGTGATGCAGAACAGTGACAGCATCTAAGGTGCTTCTTTTGCATCTGTAAGCGAACTGATACGGACCAATATGCTCTTTTATCGCAGGCTGAAGTTGAAGTACCAATAATTTTTCCATTGTTTTGAGGAAGGGTGAAGCTATTGCAATAGATCTAAATTTCACATTCTTATCACCAGATACTTTCTTGGGTACAGGAATTATCTTCATCATTCTCCCCATTTCCAGTATGAGATTAGATGAGAACTATCTGTTGAAGATAGTCGTGAAAGGATAACATTGGACGTCAGCACATTTCTTAGAAAAGAGGTTCGGGATACCATCAAGTCCTTAATATCGGGATTAATAAGTTGACTAAAGACATCTTCAGATATCAGTCTCAGTGAAACTAGGAACACAGTTATTATTTAAACTTGTGGATAAAGGGAGCATTACATCTGACGACTGGGGTAAAAAAGACTTAAGTCACAAATATTCAACTGGTTACCGCTCCTAATCTATCTGTCACCTGCAGGTTCTTTAAAGAGTTTCCAAATACTTGAAGAGTTTTTGCAATACAACAGTTTTTCAGTAAACATGGAGTTGAGACGTCTAATCTCTAGGTTTATCAGACCATTTAGCTCACAACCTTCATTAGAGTTCTTCTTCTTGGACATTCTTTCTTTCACCCTTCGTCGCCGTTTTAGCTGTGAAGATGTAAGTCGATCAAAACTTACAAAAATGGTTTCAGTGGGACAACAAATATCAAAACAAAATTTAAGGTAACACGTGATAACGTCAGTAGTGATTTGCAGTGAGTCATCTGTAAATAATTACCAGTTAGTCGTATGAAACATGTTTTGCAGATTTCGGATATTTTCTTCTGAGTAATTCCTATGTATGTCTTTCTTCGTTTGATGTAAGAGTGTACTTGTTCCATGCTTTTCATATACTTTAGGTAGAACTCAAATTATACAGTTATCAGAGCCAGACAATGGAGCACGTTTACGACTCACATATATACCCACATCATTAATGAAAACGAAGTCTAAATGAGCATCCAAACGGGTAGGAAAATCTACTACATTTTAGTGACTTAGTGACGTAAGGAAGCTACAGTCACATGAATTGAAATCACCACATACAACTGAAAGTGAATCAGTGAAGGCAGTATCAGCGAACTCAGTGAATTCACCGGCGAAAACAGATAGCGTAGATGATGTGCAGTCTGAAGTCACGTAGATATTGGTAACATAAACATATTTGTATTTATTCAGATGTTTTGGATGACATCTTAGAGTTAGACAGTCGATAAAGTCATTTGAAAAATTGAAACACGCAAACGAAGATCGACACCAGTTCATGTTTTGCAAACGTAGCTACACTGCCGCCACACCTCGTTTTGTTGTTTGATCGATCCTGACGATATATTATGAAATCACGTAGTGATACTAGACAGTCGTCCCGTAACTCATTTGACCATGATTCTTGGATTGTGATGACACCACAATTACGATACATATCTTGACTTAGTAGGAATTGAAGATAGTCCACTCTGTTGATTAGTGACTGGCAGTTGGAATTTAGCAGCTCGGGAATCGACATGCGATTAATGTTCATTCTCTTTAACGCATATTGCCAACCACCGCGATGTCGTTTGTAGTACTTTTTTGCAACTTGTACAGCGAAGGGTCGTAGGCTTTTCATAAAAGCGCCTGTATATGTTACGCGATTGATGGACATAATAAGACGTTAAAAGAAATGAAAAAACAGATAACTTGCTGAAATAATTAGATGGCAGAAACAGGTAGCCCAGATATTTAAGCAGGCCGCCGATGAGACAGATGTCACTATCCTCACATCTATTACAACAACATCGCAAATGCTAGTAGGGCGTTCTTCTACTGCATGTCATCAAAAAGCGACTAATCTGGTAGGATAGGAATATGCGAACAACGAGTTGTGTATGCATTGTTAGGTATAACATCACGCAACGGCACTTAGTAAGCTGACTTAATTTTCGCTATCAGTACTCATGTTATCAGTGCATCCGTCCTCAAATTCCTTGCTCAACCACACTAAAAGACTGTTTACACCTTGCATCACCAACGTCTTACTCGGACAACAAAACATACAAAATTATTTTTAAGTAGTGGGATTCAAACAGGTACACATACCATAGAATGAATTTTGGGACAAATCACAATAGACTGATTTCGACGAAAATAGAAAATCTCTCGATGGTCAAAATTCCGAGTAGAATCGGCTATGTTGGTGGGATTTTGAAGGAAAAATTGATAAAATACACAGGATGATCACAGATTTTGCAATAATCTAAGACGTGAATACCACAGAACGAACTTAAAGAAAACGCAAAACGTTAACCAAAGTAATTCGAGCTAAAGCCGATTAGGTATGCCTTCATTATATACTCAAAAACAAATTTAATTTACAACCAGTATGAAATCCTCGCTCTTTTAAAGCACGCGCTTATATCTATGTGATTGGTCGATTTGTGCAGATTATTTCTACTGTTAAGAAATTCGTAAATTTTACTGATAAGGATACCGATACAGGTAATTTGCTTTTTGTCTCAAATTTATGTTTATTGAATTTGATGTTTCTGTTGTCATGACTTGATGCACAGAGTAATGGCGGATGTTTTGGACGTGAATAGTGGATCGTCAAAAGTGCACGTTCTTTTTTATATTTACACAATTTTTGATAGTTTGCCAAAAAAGGTAGAAGAGCTAAAAAAACGGTTAAAGATAAAGATGATCCAATTTCTAATGAGTTTGATCTACATAAAGCTAGTGATATAAAGGTAGGTTTATTCGTGATTCATGTGAATAAGAAGACCACTAACCTTCCGGAATGTAAAATAGGCGGTTGGAACGAGGGTGAAATTTCGCACAGCGTATTTTTTGGAAAGTATCTATACATTTTAGAGTGATGGTATTTGCTCATAATTTTTTTTCAGAAGGTATGTACTGTACAGATATCTCAACAAACACTTTCACAGAGCTGATGAAGATACACTAGATTTTTGCAAAGCTTTACGTAGAGAAGGTAAAATTATTCTTTAACTTTATGAAGGATACAATCTGGAAAATATCTTTTAGAATCTGATGAAGAACTCGGTAATCTTCTATTTATGTGTTTACGAATAAACAGAGATACCGATTGTTCCTGATTTAAGTAGTGTTGAGGACCAGTCTACCGCATTTCAGGGTGCGGTCGCACCGAGGTACATGAGTTTTCTGTCAATTGCCTTATCAGTTTCTTGTATGTGTTATTAAATATTAATGAAATTATGAAAGTTAAAATTTAATTTGTAATGTATCTTTTAGGACTAGAATCTTTTGATATTTTGACTCATGAAAGTTTAAACGAGTCTGCACCAGCCTTTATTTTTAACACTTACTTATTTATTCCCATCCCTTTCGAGATTTTTTTGTAGGTAGATTTTTCCATATTCTGTGTGATCTTCACATGGTCATAAAAAAATTCAGTCATCAAAATAGTATAAGAACAGTGTTTGTCGTCGATTACTGATGTACAAAAGTACTTTTTGTGTATATTTTGGGGAGTTCA